ATCAAATTTCAGTGGGCTGGAGGAGAACATAGGAAAGTCAAACCCCATCATGAGGCACAGTGCTGAGCTGGGGGACCTATGGCTGCAGGGAGCCCCGAGGTGGGTGAGCGGGTACAGGGTGATGGCACAACAGAGTCCCAGGGAGCCACTGTCACCGCTGTCAGACTGCAGGCAGCACTGCTGGGTACTGGAATTATATCTTCAAAATATACCTGGCTAAAGAATTCACGTCTGACAGCTTCAAGTTTTAGACAATTTGTACAGCACTAGAATGTGTCACTTGTCACTGCAGATTCCTACAGGGAGCTGTGACCACACACCGGGCATGCCCTGCATCTGTTACAGGTGCATCCATCACCTCCTGCAGGCACCACATGGAAATCACTGAGTACCCAAGCAATGTGCTGCTGCCACCTCTGCAGTGAGGACACCTGGTCCCAGCACCCCATGCACATTCCTGCACCTCCACGGCCCCACTCCAGCTGTGCTCCACTGCTCACAAGGCAGGAAAACCACAACTTTGGTTGCAAGGCTTCTGCTGTCTCCTGGGGAAGCAGAAGAAGCAACTGGGAATGCAGATGACTGTGCAGACAGGAGGAAGGCAATAGCTGTCTGTGCAGAGCCAGGAGATCTCAACAGCACACAAAATCATGATCTCAGGTCCATTCTGGCAGACACTTGGGGACTTGGTGCTTCAGGTCCATCCTTTTCTGCCCAGGCTGCGAGCAAGAGCAGAACCCCCAGGTGCTGGTATCAGGAGAGGAAGGCACCCCACATCAGCCAGCCAGGACCTGGAGAGCTGCAAGCCCCCCAGGCATTTCTCCAGATAGGAGGACCTGGAGCAGCAGCAGGTCTAGCCTCACTATTACCAAAGCTCAGGACATACACCTGGTGTTTGGGGCTGAGCCTATGCCCAAATGCATTCTGCATCCTTCTGTCATTTCCTCTACAACACTCAACACCTCATCACCATGTGTCTGCTGCAGCCCAGAGCCTTCAACCATGGAATTATATGGTCTACCTTGACCAAAAGCTGAACACCTGCAAGGATCCAAACACATTTTCATTTGCCCACCTTATTCCAGAGGATTTAGGAGATATTCATCTCAAAACTAACAAAAATCCTTAAGTGGGTGTGCTGCAGAGCAGGAGGCATAGAGGGGGCACAGTCCTGTGCAGGTACCAGGCTCAGGAGGGCTGGCACAAAGCTCCCAGGGCACCTTTGGCTGGGCAGCAAACTGCATCTCACTGTTTTGCTCACTGGCTGTCAGTAAATTGACAGCCCTTCACTGCCTGGGGAAGAGAAGAGAGCCCAGACAGACACCCACCCCCCCCCCGAATACCCCACCCAGGCATTGAAAGCAATGCCCTGGCCCCCCAGGGAGGGGACAAGTCCCTCACTTTTCCCACCACTCTAAGGTTTCTCCAGCAATTGAGAGGCATCTGATCTTTCAGGAGCCTGATAGAGAGAGAATGCTGGTGTCATTACCAAGTTAATTAGAAAAACTCAAATGGAGCTTTAAACATTTTTATAATACATTTGGGTCTTTTTGGCAGGATTATTGCAATCTTTTGGGTTTCTATTTCCCATTAAAGCACTCTCAGTAGTGCACATATAAAAGCCATATGATCTTGGCTCCTTGCTGATTTTTTTCCTTTTTATTTTTCCTTTTTTTTGGGTAAGATTTATTAAATATTGTAATCAGTTAAATTTTGGCAGCTTAAACATTTTCTTTAATAGCCTTGTTAAATGTGGATTAGATTTAAAATCCCTGCGTCTGAACTCTGGAGCAGCAGTATTTATATGCAACGCTAAAAAAATTAAAAGCTTTACAAAGTGGTAATTACTCCTCTGCTGCAGGAGGAGAGAGACTGACTTTCTAAGTTATTTTTAGGCAAGTTTTCCAGCCTCACCCTTCCCAAACAATAATATACAATCATAATTTATTCCTCCTGAAGGACCACCCCCCAGGTGTGGCACAGCTGACCTGCAGAGCCCACTCCACCAGCTTTGGCTTTGTGACACCAGGAGCAGGCAGCGGCCCCTGCAGGACGCTGCCCCCTCTGAGGCCCCCCCACACCCTCCCTGGTGAGCGGGTCCCCAGCACTACCAGCCAGAAGCAGGAGCAGCCCAGCAACAGGTGGACAGGGGATGCTTCCCTTACAGCCCCCAGGGGCTCCCACCAGATGCAATGGGTGCAGCTGCAGCCCCCGGCTGGGGCAGCCCCTGCTCCTCAATCACCCCGTCAATGACACTTCTATGACTTTTGCCGTGTCTAAGTGATGCATCATCACAACTCCATGCCACGCTTGCAGGGAGCACAGAGACCTGGTTTTATGTTAACTGAAGCCCAGGAAAACTTTCAGGTGCCATTAAGAACAGCTAAAGCAGAGGGGACATTCCTTGTTCCTGTTTTCCCCTCCTTTCCTCACCACAGCAGCTCTGTATTGTGCCCAGGCTGGGACAGACCTGGTGTGTGGGAGCCTGCAGGGGCTCCCGGGGGCAACAGACTGGTCGTGGCAGAGGCAGCACCCACGTCTCTGGGAAGGGCAGGGAAGGTAAGCAGTGATCCACAATACATGCCGATGACACCAGTTTAGGTGAACACGAGCAGAGCAGAACTTCAGGACATGCCATGGGGCACCAGCCACTGAACAGGGCACACCTGGGCACCACAAATGCAAACTCACAAAGAGAGGAGGGCGGCTGGACTCACCACCTCTCACACCCCTGGGAAGGTTTGGAAAAGCCGGCCTGGCTCCTGAGGGTGGGTTTTTTCAAGGCAGCATGTCCTGCTGGGATAGGAGCAGGGCAGGGCAGGGTGAGACCCATGCACAGGACTGCAAGGTGCATCTCAGCAGCTGTGCCCGAGTCAGCAAAGCCTTTCTGTGAGAAGGCAGGATTGCCAAATGCCCCTTCGGATAGAATGGAAGGCAGCTGGAGGGTCCCAAGAGATCCCTGAGGGTGCCCAGAGGAAAGTTGCCGAGCTTGTAGGCAGCACCCTGAACTCTAGGAAAGTAAAACCTCCCTGGGAAGGAGGGAGGGTTCGAGGGCTCCCCGAGCAGTGCTGAACCACAGAGCTTCCCTTCACCTGCACAGCAGTGCGAGAGCACGGAGGAATCCTCCCCCACAGCCCTGCCTGGGCAGCTCCAAAACTCCTCAACACCTGCGGTTGGAAGGATGAGCTTTGCTGAATATTTCTGAGGAACAGAAGGCACCTTTGGGAGCATTACCTGTGTTTTAATGAAGCTTTTTGCCATTGAATGTAAGTCAATTTTCTTGGAGTGATTACCCTATCTCTGGAGGGTATTGTAGGAAGAGATGAGAACCAGAGAGGGCCAAGAATAATATCAAGCACTGTAACAATTCTCAATAAGGAGAGACAGAAAAACAAGGTAGAAACAGAATGAATAAATAATGGTGTAAGAGACAGTCTGGGAGCTCCTCTTATCCCACTCTCATAACAAGAGGCGATATGATATTGAACTAAAAGGTGGAATAAAAGGGAAACACCTTACTCATGTGAGCTGTAATGAGTGTGTGGGGCCCTGCACAAGCCCAGGTGCTCCCCGGGGAGCGGGTTCTTGGCTCTGCCTCACAAGCACAATACCTTCAGCCCTAGATGCAGAGAAAGAGCTTGGGATCCACATGTGGCTTTGGTCCAGGTGGCAAACTGGATCCCTCCTGCAAGAGGCATCTCCCTGAGCTGGGGAAAATTTTGGAGTCAGGGTTTTTAGGCTGAGGTCCCTGCAGCTGGATGCAGGAAGGATGCTCTGCCAATGCCCTTACATACCGATGCTGCACTCCCACCCTGGGGTGCTGTTTTCTATCCTCTGGACCTGCAGGTGGTCCTGCAGGGACTATCACAAAGCCACAGGTGAAACATGGGAGCAAACAGAAGTAAGAAGTGCTAATGCAGGAAGAGGCCATGAGCAGACTGTTCCTGCCTCAGCCAGACCTCTGAAGCTGGCTCCCGGGGAAAGGACTTCAGGGAACAGAAACTCTCCTTAGTTCTGCACCAGAGAATGAAGACTATCTCCTTTTAAAATTCATAAACCAACCCAGACTGTAAGTTACAAACTAAGGAGCTCCTATTTACATATATCACTGCAACAGCCACAGTGCTCGTTATGAATTATTTAGCATGATGCTCTCTCACACCAACCCTGCTCACTCCATGTCCTCCTCTCAATTAGGCCTTTATGGCAGAGGGGTCAGTAATAACAGGTCACTTAACTGTAAATAAAAGTGACACTGGGAGATATGCCAGAGTATTTATTTGTACTGCTGTAATACTGTAAAAATGTGTTTATGAAGATCAGCTCCTCACGTTTACTTGTCATGCAAAAAATGTGTTTAGCAAAACGCACATTACACACACGTTACCCCCAGCAGATGTGGTCTCTCAGCATGTGGGGGTGCTGAGCCCGCTGCCAGCTGCCCTCAGCTGTGCCCCCTGCCCACTGCCTTGCTGGTGGCAAGGCAGAAGCTGTGGTGGTTTGAATGGTGCTGGGGAACCTCGGGGAGGTGCTCGCCCGGCCCAGTGTGAGGGGACGGCTCCCATGACATCGTATCCGGGCTCAGGACAGTGCGGTCCCAGCAAGCACCCAGGACAGGAGCCAGGCAGGCCTGGGAGAACCGCCAGGAGAAGTTCCTCAAATTAAATGTTTTGTGGCAAAGAAGCAAATTTGCTGACACTGAACCTTCTCAAGCCTGAGTTCGGCATTGTCAATTTATTCGGCTTTTCAAAAGGACAGTGCTTTAAGCAGAAGTTTTGGTGGTTTTCCACCTGACACCTTTAATGTTCTTAAAAAGTAAAAATTCAGTAAGGACATTAAGTTCTTCATTTTGGACCAATTAAGAACTTCCACACACAGAAAGGCTGCCCTTTGTTCTGTGTTTTATGGAGCTCTCTGCTTTGTAGAAGTTTTTGAAAAGTCATTTAATGTCAAACCAATGTTTCTGGGGTTTTTGAGCCTCAAGCAAACAGAAAAATCACCTTTTTGCTCCACTCTGGGCAGCTCTCTGTCAGCTGGCAGCTCCTCCCCTCTCTGCCTGGCAGCCTCCATCCATCCCGTCTTTCAGTCTCCACTGGCACGACTGCACCACGGCTCCCTCCTGCTGGCCAGCAGAGGGCATGGCCCCGGGGAACGGCGGGGACCCTGTGGCCTTCAGCCGGGCAGGGATCCCACCGACCTTGGTCTGCAAAAATCCACAAATTCATTTTCCATGAGTGGGACCAATGGGCATCAAAAATCAAACTGCTGCCTAAAGGAGCTACTTGTCAGCAGATGATGTCCCTGGTACTGTCCTCAGTGCAAGGGGATGGAGAGGAGTATGGGAGAAGGGTCCCTGATGCCCAGTACATCCCTGTACAGATGTAACCCTGGTCCCTTGTCCCCAGAGGATGTGACCAGCCCAACCTTGCTTTTCTCTGTGCCTTTGCAAAAGGCTCTGAATCCCAAATCCCACGGAGAACAACAGCAGTATCTCCCTCCAGAATGCCAGTGGGTGCCCAGGCCCCAGAGCCAAGGACGACTGCTGCATCCCCCCTGACTCGGTGGGACAGGGCAGTGGAGTTGGGGGCTGCTCTGCCACTGCAGGACAGGCCTGGGTCCCACACAGCCAGCAGCAGCCCCTTCCCAGGGCTCAGTGCTGCTTTTCCCAGGAACTGTTATTAGCCTAGTATGGGAGGTGATAATAACAAACCATTAATGGGAATCTGTTTGAGTGCCACTGTGTGGCAAGATCGTAAATTAATGGTCGTTTCATTTATTGTCATTTTGTCCATAACAAGATGCTGATTTTCCCCTTGGGATAATGAAATTGATCTGTAAGAACCATAAATCGTCCCCGTGGTGTGGCTGGAGCCAGGTGCTGGATTAACAGGCTCATGGCAGAGATGTAAAAGCCCATGAATCGCGTGGTGGGGGGGAGAGGATGGCTGCGCCGGGGGGGGCCCACACTGACATTGCACTGGCTCCTGTGTTGGAGCACTCCACAGGCTGACAGTGAGGTATCTCATGTATCACACCAGGAAGATGCAACTATCCCTGGGTGGCTTACATTTTCTGCTCATGGAAAATTGTTTTTTAAAGACAAACCAAAACAGCCCAAGACACTCCCTGACCTTCACCCCTTCAGAGGTGTCCCAGACAGATGCTGCCCAGCCTGCCTGTGCACCAGCAGCTCAGGGTCAGCCAGGAAGAGGATTGATGGCTTCTGCTGCCTTCACCTGGAGCATAAAACAAAAACACATTGGAAATTTATAGCATCTATTGAGCTGAAAGGCTTCTTTTGCTTCATGTTCCCTGATGTTCCCAGGACTCCCAGCCAAGCACCTTTACGCAGTGAACAAGTCTGGCTTCACAGCAATGACCACCTGGAAATAAAAATTAAGTGAAAGTTTCTCATAATTAAGTCTTTAAATGGAACAAGGAGTTAGAGCTCTTAGGGTGATAAGCACCCTCCCCATCCCATTGCAGAGGCACCAGCCAGAGCTGCAGAGACACATACCCCACTCCACGTCTGTCCTGCAAGGAGCTGGCTGTGGTGGCAGTTTGGGCAGCAAGGGGGCTGCTGGCAGTCACTGACCTGACCAGTCACTGTCCTGGTCACACCAGTGGGACACCCCTTCTCTCACCCCTCAAGTGCTTTAAATGCCTGCTTGGTGCCTGATGGAGCCCTCACTACTTCCCCCTTTCTCTCTCCTCATCTCACTTTCACAAAATGAGAAAACCTTGCCTGGCTCAGGGCAGGATGTGGCACCAGGGCTGGCTGCAGAGGGGTCCTGTGGCAGAGGAAGACACTGGGGAAGAGACCCCCTGGGACCCCCTGCTGCCCCCAAGAGCCCTCTCCAAACTGGCACCTTCTGAGGCAGGGTGTTGAGAAGGCCTTACAGATTTCTGGGTTTTTTCCTTGCATAATTCAGCAGAGATATAATTTTGAATAATGCTATTTTTCTCACTCAGATATGAGAAATATTAACTGGCCAAACTTTGCTGTGGCTGTCACCATCCTTTTAGCAGTGTGATTGCCAGCAGGGATTTATCGTCCTCTCTGCACCTGGGTTATTTGAGTTTTGCTTTGCTGCAGGGCTAGGGCAACAATAAATTTCCTTCTCCTCTGGAACATGCTCTAACCTCTCATTTTCTAATAAAGTGTTAAACCTTGGAGCAGCCCACACTGGCTCCAGTGCTGGAGAGGAGTTCCAGCTGAGGCGATGAGCTGCCTGCTGCAGGCTGGAGGGTACCCTTAGGGGCCAGGAATCTCTTCCCATGGTGGCTCTCATGGATTTTGGCTTTGTTTTCCAAGAGAGCCCCCTCCCCAGGCAGAGGCCTCCAAGGCTGATCCCTAGCAGCCCCACGACCAGCGGAGAGGAGAGCCTGAAGGCAATCAGGGAGGAGGTGCAGGAGAAGCCCCCAGATCCACTCAGTAAGGCCTGACCAGGACAGTGACAAAAGGGAGCAGCTTGGAGAGATTCCCCACCCCACAGTCAATGTGTCCCCAGTGCAGCCTCCTGCCCACTCCAGCCCACGCTGGAGCAGCACACGGCAGAATTGACCCTGACTGGTGGTGGAGGGACAGTGAGAGCCACCAGTAGAACTGAGCCCATCCCCAGCATGGGGTTTGGGCTGCTAAAAAGGGTCCCAGCTGGCAGCCTGCCACCCCCCATCATCCCAGCCCTTCCTGCTCCTGTAGGGCTTCAGTAGAGGTTGACAGAGCAGGAAGGATGATGTGTGAGTGGGTGGGTGGTGATCTGGTGCTGGTCCCATTACAGAACTGTCGGCAACTGCAGCACCGGGCTTCACCAGCCCAGCTGGTTGGTGAGTTACAGCAAGAGGCCGTGTTGTGGTGATAAGGTTTTTTTCAATATATTCTGTTTGCATTGGCATTGGTTTCACTCTTTCTCAACTGACTGATAAAGCCCTAGACAGGGGATTAGTCCTCTTGGAAGCTAAAGAAAGAGGTAATTTGAGTTGTTTATAGCCTGCAGGGGTAGAATCAAAATGTACAATACTGAGAGAGTCAAACTTTTACAGCGTATGGCAGAGCCATAACTCAGAGCAAGTATCACACATTACAGTCCTGTGAAATGCATTTCTGTGACAAAAGGCTGGAAAGGCAGAAAGAATGAGAGGAATTAATCTGTTCTTGGGACAAATATTGTAATGAAGACAAGAAATGCCAAGAAAATTAACCCCTGCCTGGTTCAGTGTTGGCATCAAAGCGTTTAACCCAGAAGTCTTAACTCTACACTTTGGGCAGCATCAGAAACAGCCCTTGCCCTAACAATTCTGCAGTACAGGCACAGGGGAGCCCCAGCCTGACCTTGGCTTTTCTGTGCTAAAAGAGTAGCAGCTTTCCCTCAACTGGGTTTTGCTGGATTTTCATAGCTATTAAATCTAATTGCTGAGATAGAGTTATAAAATTATAATTTTAACCATGCAATTTAGATGGAGTAACTGGTCGCCTATTTCTGTGATTATCCCTGATTATTAAATGAACAGCTGCCTCCAAATATGTTTGCAACAAACTAATTTAATGAGTGCATGTGCCTGAATATTCATAGCCCTGATTCGCGGCACAGACTTTTTCACTGTGGCTTTAAAAGTTAATTTATCCCGGCAATTTAAATAAATCCACTTCCATCAGCCTTGATTCAAGTTCCACACTTTAACACTGAGTTTGGCAGCAAGAAAGGTGTACCAGCATCTCCTCAGCAGCCACTCGCATAGAGCACTGTCAGAGCACAGACACCGGCACAAGTGTCAATCCCAGGCTTCTCCCATGCCTTATTTGTGGGTTTGACAACCCTCCTCTGTGCAGCACTAACACAGTGTGACACTCCACAGTCTGTTTGTTTTAGCTTTTCTGCTAAACTTTGCTACCACACCAAGCAGTGTGAAAAATAATCTGCCTCCCCCAAGCACTGAAATATGGGTATGGCTGGCCAGCGGACAGCCAGCCAGTGGTTCTCCTGGCTGCCAGGCTGGTGTCGGCAGAGGAATGTCTCCTGACAGCCCGGCAGTCATCCTGGCATCAGGAATTTCATTTTCATCCTTACAAAGGAGGTGTCTTGTGTTGCCACCAGCCAACAGGTGGCAGAGGGCTGAGGGGCAGAGGGGCCAGGAGCATCCCAGGCAGCAGTGCTGGTCTTCCCAGCCCGCAGTGTGCCAAGGGCAGCCATGGAGCAGCCACAGTGGCGAAATACCACCACACCCAGGGGTCAGGAGAAGGCAGTGGGACAGTCAAGTGTCCTTTGCTTGGCATCTGGCCACTCCAGCCATCACTTGTGGACCCAGACAGGTGCAGACAGCACAGACCGGGGCAGAGCTGTGCCAGGGTCTGGCTCCACATGGGATAAATGCTGCTGTCCCCAGCCTGGCCTACAAGAACACAACTTGGACTTAAATCTCTGTGCACCCTCCAGAGCAAGCCGCACTGCTACAGACTACTGCAGCATTTTAATAATAGTCACAGCACAATACAGACTGCTTAAAAACCCAAAAGTACTGCCCTGTAACATGAGCGGGTGCCCGAGAACAGCTATTTCACCTGATGCTGCTCCCACCATGAAGCACCAGAGTTCCCCCTGGGGTCTCCCAACCACTGCAGCAGTGTGCAGCCTCTGGACCCTGACAGAAACCTCCTGTGCTTGGGAATGTGCTAGGATTTACATACTTACTGGAGAGAAACAGCAGCTGCTCAGAAGGCAGGCTCAGTTCCCAGAAGCATTTCCAAGATGCCTATTAGGCAAATGCTGGCAGGCCATGCCCAGGTTCTCCAGGCAATCCATCCATCCTGCCCCTGTAGAATATCGGCAGCCACTCCGCTGGAACAGGCAGGCACCAGCCTGGAACGCCAAGCCTAGTTGGGCCAGTGACTTGTGCAACCTCTGAGTGCAACAGCTTCCTCACATCCCCATAGACATGTCCCTTGGCAAGCAATCACCATTAAAAAAACAGTCTTTTAAAAGCTTTTATTAAAAATCCAAGAAAAAAAGAAAGAAAAATCTGTTAAAGCATTTGAAATGTAAAGCAAGGCTTTCATTTCAACAGCTTCCCTGCTGCCTTTTGTCTCTTCCTGTACAGAGGTTTCACAAAAAATCCACAGTTTGACAGACATTCAGATGATATTAAAGAAGGCAACATCTGATTGTGGGGGAAAAGAAACAGTTCAGCTGAGCTGGGCCGGAGCTGTTGGACTGTGACCAGCTGCTCTGCAGAACCAAACGCCAATGGAAAGGAAGGCTCAGAGGGGCTTGGCAGCCCCTGCTAGAGAGAGGAGCCCATCCCACACTCACAGCTTTCCCAGCTCCCCAAGCCCAGCATATCCTTCCAGGGGACATCCCTCCATCAGTGTGTCCTGGGCCCCCAAGTGTGGTGAGTCTGGGTCTGGCTGGGGGGGTCCCCCATCTCTGCAGTTCTCATGGCTGAACAGCACCATCTCCCCAGTTTTTCTGAGGGAGCCTGTCCCCACGCTGGGTGCTGAGACTGCATCACCTGAGAGGCCATTTGCCGTGGGTGGGCACAGGGAAGGGCACCTGCTCCAAGAAATTTCCTCATCGCTGGCCTCTGCTTGTCCTGGGCATCACCTAAGGAAATTTCCAAGGATTCACATGAAAACTCATCCCAGTGTAACCAGTCCCTTTGGAAGAAACCAGAGGTTCTCCTCAGCCCCTACACGGCTTCTCTCAGCCCTGTGTCCCTGCTCTGTGGGATTGTTCCCGTGGGCAAAGCAGGAGTGGGCCCTTTCCTGGGACCAGGGGCTCTGGGTCCCTGCCCTGGGAGCAGGGCTCAGCAGGGATGCCACTCTCTTGGCACTTGGGAGGCAGGAACAGGCACCAAGGAACACTTCTGCTGTTCTAACAAGGAGCGATAGATTAAAAAGCTAGTTAAAAATTCATCCAGGAGAGGCAGAGTTTCCCAAGCATATCAGAGTTAATATTTATAAAGGGGATTGTTGCTCAGGCTCAATTATCCTAAAAGCTTGGTACAATTGATGCATTGGAGAAACCACGAACACAGGCATGTCAAGGGAAAACCATTCCCTGTGACTGCTAACAAAATGCAATCAGATCTGCAGCATGTGGAGCCAATTGATTTTCAACAAGTCATACAATGTAAACAAATGATTGATTCTCAGCGCTTTCATTTCTGAGCAAGCAGCCAGACACCTCTCCAGCTCCCGGCGCAGGTGAGGCTGGAGGGAAACACGGCTGCAGCGGGGCGGCCGCAGCCCTTTCATCAGCCAGCCAACAGCAGGAGCTTTGATTTTTGTTCCCTCAGCCCCTTAAGCAGCCACTAAATAATGAACAGTTCCTCATGTAAGCAGCCCCCGATCATGTGAAATCCTTCTGCTGCCAGTGGTCATGTCAGACCACTTTCTGCCTTCACTGGGAGTATGGAGTTTCCTATTTCTTTTGCATTTTGCCTCCTCTGATGTTTCCAGCTTTGCTCTGATTTACTCGAGACAGATGAGACAGAATATCTCCGAGAGCTTTATCACTGCTTTCTCAGTGGCTGCAGCAGCGGCAGCGCGCTGGTGTGTGTCTGCGCCGGCCGTTCGGCGGCTGCTGAAATCGCTCCCCGCTCCCTGTGAAACCAATAAGCCGATACCACTGCACCGGCGGCTGCCGGACCGTGCCCCTGGGTATGTCAAATTAAACCAGCGCCGGCAGCCTGGCCGTAACAGCACCTGTCCCTGGGCAGGGGTGGGCACCCGGGAGCTGGGGCTGCAGCTGTCAGTGCAGCATCCACCCCCACCAGTGGAGCCGCAGGGCACCGGGGTGACGACCACTGGCACATCTCCCTTTCCCCTCATCAGCGCCCCTGCTCACGCCCTCCCGCTGTTGCGGCGCCGCGGAGGCAGCGGTGCGGGGCAGTGCGTGCTCCCGCACTGCCCTGAGCCTCGCTGGGTGCTGTCGGGATTACCGATCTGAGGAGACGAGTCACGTTTCCATGAACTGTGATAATCATTGCAGCAATAGCTTTAAAACTGCGTTTCCAGAGCTCCACCACCCGCCTGTTTCCGCCCCGTGTGCAGTGATGAGCTGTCGGACACTTATGCAGCACAGGGTCCTGAGGGTCCCCGGGCAGGGGGAACCACTGCCCCATGTCCCAGAGCCCCAGGGGACAAGGACCTGGATTTCTGTTCTCCCAAAGCTGCCAACCACCTTATGCCAGCAGTGAAAGCTGCCCTGGGGGCGGTGGGTCCCCGGGCAGCCCCGTCCGGGCGTGCAGGACGGGGTCAGCACGGGGCCGCCTCCTCAGATGTCCGGCGTGGGCTGCAGCTGCCCTCTGGCTACGGAACCGAGTCCTTCCCAAGAACAGCCTGCTCTTTCCAGAGCCCCCGGCGTTAGGCATTCACTGATCCCCCGCTGGGGGTTCCCGGAGGCGCCAGAGGCTCGGGGCTCCCCGGTGCCCGCCCGGCGGTCTGTGTGGTGGGACAGGCGCTGTGCCGAGGGTTGGTGGTGCCTGCGGTTTGCCGGGGGCTGCCAGGCACAGTGCCCGCTCCCTGCGCCAGGGCTTGGCACCATTCCCCGCAAGTGGGCACAAATTCTTCCTAAAACACAGAGGAGGCTTGCATGGGCGCTGAGAGATTCCTGCACAGACGCCACCAGGGCCAGGAGTGTTTATCTTTAAAATTAAAATGGTCTTTTTAAAGCAGATTAAAACTCATTGTGAAAGTAACCATGAACATCTGTGATCTCCCCACAAAGGCCTTCCTGGCTCTTTTAGAATTTGCCCTGTTCTCATTATAGTATCAGCATAATTCTGCCTCTTTATTTAAAGCCTGCAAGATATTTATATTTCAAATAATTTTTACAGAGTTCAAATGTGCATCACAAGCTGTTTTTTCTACTTATGTATTAATTGTATGTGTGTGCCCAGTGCTAAGCCCGATTGCCATGTAATTTGTACGACGTAATTAACCATGTAGAAACCATATTACATTGTGTTTGGAAGAGTTACATCCAGTTAATCGAATTGACTAATAACATGTTTTCATTTAGTAGCATGTACTGTATTTCCAGTGATTGAATTAACGTCATGTTAACGGCTGCTTTTTGCAACAACATTTGGCATAAATGGCATTAAAAATTGATGTTCGTACAAATGTATTTTGAATACAGCTCAGCATGTGGCCTGGGAAAACACTCCTGTTGTTTATTAAATCAGCTCCGCTTGTGAGTGTGCTCCGAGGCACAGCACTGTTGCCCTGCCCATGTGCTGGGACCCCTGGGACCACTGTCCCCCTGTCCTGCTCTGGATCTGAGCCGCCCCAACGGTGGTACAGACTCCTCTCGCTCCCTTGGGTGGCAGTGCCTGGAGTTAGAGTTGGGCTTGTGGGACACATTTTAGAGGGGATCTCTGTTCATCAGGCTGTGATGGGAAAGCTCTGGGCATCTGCTGGTAGAGGGAGACGAAGAGGCAGCACCAGCCATGCCCCTTGGAGAGCCCCCCCCCCACTGTGCCTGGCCAGCCTGCTGGCCTCTCCCACAAAAGCCACGAGGACCGGATGGACAAATGCTCTGCAGCCACCTTCTTCCTTCCTGTCCATGTTTGTAGATTGTCCCCAGGGAGGTTGATCAATGTGCCTGTAGCCAGGAGGCTCCTGCTTGCTTTGACCCGCAGTGGGAAACAACCGGTGTTGCCTAAAATCTTAAGGTATCACCAGAACTGCAGTGTCTGGGCCCCTCTCCACAGCTCTCCCTCTCTGGAGGAGCCAGGAGAACAGGCTCAAGGAGCACAGCCAGGCTGGTGGTGTCCAAGTCTGCAGCCACAAGCACAATGAAGGAGCCTGAGCCTGTTTCTCCTTGAGGGATTAAAAATACTGATTTTTTTATTCTATACCCAGCAGCGCATCCTGTTTCTGCTGGGAGGGAGGGGTTTGGTTTAAGATACTTGTGAAAGCAAAGGAAAGAAAGGACAGGAAAATTGTTGGTTTTGGTGGCACTTGTCTGGGAGCCAGGAAAGCAGAAAAATAAGGCACAGATACATTTGTGCTGATGGCAGCCTGATGTCGTCTCCTCATACACATTTTCTATGCTGTTGCAAAAACGCTTTCTCCTCACCTATGTAAGCACCACTCCTGCAAAAGACACCATGAGAGGTCTGTGAGCCAGGGGTGCTTCACAGCTCTGCAGGAGAGAAAGTTTCCCTTCCTCGGTTTGCCATTTTCTTTGCAAGTTATACAGGCTCCATTCTCCATCTCTCATACAGTCACTGCTGATTAGTTGCACAGGTGAACATACCTGTACCCAGCCTGCACCATGGAGAGGGACACGCCGGAGCTCCGTTCCTGCTGCTGACGTGGCCAGCTGTAACCCCATGGCATCCACAGTCTGTGTGGGAGCAGCAAGGAGCCGCTGCAGTCGCTTGTGCCCTCCAGCACTGCCCATCTGCATGTGCCACCCCCGGCATGGTCTGTGCACAGTGAGGGAAGGAGCGTCCTGCAGATCCTGTTGGAATGGGACACGTGGTGAGGCAGGCAAGCTGAGCTGGACAGCACAGTGCAGCAGGGAACAGCCTTTGCCTTAGTGTGTGAGCAGGTGTGGGCTGACCCCACCAGCTAGGAATGCTGCTCCCAGGAGCCCTCAGCACACGGCAACCCGAGCTGATCCCTGCGGGTTTCACGGACTCAAGCTCCACCAGAGAATCAGCACAAAGAGAACTGACAGCTCCGACTCATGGGACTGTACCTCGTTGGTCCCCAGTGTGTCATTGCATCCCACCTGAGACATCGGTGAAACAAAAGCGCACCTGGAAAGAAGCTTAAATCACAGAACCACAGAGCAATTAAGTCATGTTCATACAGAGCTATTAGTGCTGATTCTCACACTCTTTACATAGGAGCAGCACATAATAATAATTTCCAATTAAATTACGTTTCTCCAAGGTGCATTAACAACTTCTATCCGTCCGATTAACTGGACCCATCTCTGCTGCATGGAGCAGTTACACCACTCCAGAGGGAAAGCAGACAGTTAACAACACCCCCTGCTGTGGTGCTAATGCAGGAATACTGCTGTAAGACCCATGGGCACACTCACTGCAAACTGTCCACCCAAACACAGCTCCTGGTTCTCTGCCCCATGCTGTCCAGCGCTCTGCTCACTCCTGTGGAGTGACACAGGAATACGCCAGTGCCTGGGCTCCATTCTGGCACTCAGCTCTCACTGCTGTCTTCTCCCAGGACATGGTGCCCAGCAGTTCTGCCAAAGGCAGCTTTGGTGAGGAAATTGCAGAGGGCCTAATTTGTGCAGGAAGAGCTGACCTGCTGCCATGACCCAAGGATGAGGGTTTATTTACTTGAGCGGGATGAATAATTCCATGCACATTCTTTGGGCACTCAATTCTTCAGACTCCTCTTGGTGAGAAATGGAGATTCCTCCTATGAAGGAGAGAGAGCATCTGTGCAGGAGGGCAGCAGCAGAGGGCCAGCACATATCTGAAATACAGCGAATGGGACACCCAGATGTGTGCATGGTGACTCGAGTGTGTCTGCAGAGAGTGCACAGACACGGGAGCAGCTGCGCCTGAGATGGAGCCTGAAGGCACCTTCCTACCAAATAGGTAAGCAGAGATCTTAAAAAACAGTTGCCTTCTGACCCTGGAGCTTTGTAAATCAGGTCAGTACAGCTCCATGAACCCTGCCACTTCCTCATGATTGCAGTTCCTCTGTGGGAGTGACCACCTCAACACCTCTTGGGGATTGAAGTAAATTCCCCTGTGGCGGGAGGCAGTGCAAATACGGGAACAGGCAGGTGCACCCAGAGCAATTGCCTACACCCATGTGGACACCAGGCAGCTGCATCAGGGAACAGTGAGACTGGGTGGGCATCAGAACATCATCAGGGTCCCTAAACCAGCAACACATTGAAATGAGCAGGGATAGGACAGAGACAACCCATATGGGAGAGGGAGAGGTCTTTTCCAGGAGGCCTGACAGGCCTCTGACCTGCGCTGGAGGGGAGGTGCTGGGATGGCAGAGGCACATGTGTGTGTGTGCACCCATATGCCCGTGCCCATGCTGCAGGGAGGGGAGCGTTCTCACTCATTCTGTCCACAGGCACAGCTGACATACACTCAGGAGCACACAGTTATCAAAATGTTATAAATTGCTGCCTTTTAAATAGTGTGGTAATTTGCTAGTCCATTACAGGAGGAGCTGTAGTATACAAGGAGCGTGCTATGAAAAATTAAGCCTTCTGCGTCACTGCTGACCTCCGCAGCTGAGGTGCTCTCAGAACTGCTCCATTATGTCAGCCTGCCCTGAGCAATTAGCCACCCCTCAGCGCTCATCTGCGTGTCACTGTGCCTCGGAGGACAACACTCGCCTGGCAGTTCCTTTCCCGGAATCGTTCACTGCGGAGGAGGTTCCACTCATGACTCCATCAGCCCAATGGTCACCAGGAGATGGCCCCAGCAGGGGACCCCAGCGGCTCTGCAGCCACCCCTCCTGCTGTAATCAGTGCACTTGTGTAGCCATCACTGTGAGCTGTGACACCTAATTTTAAAGCAGCAGTTTCACTCTTTGAATTCCTCAGGCTTGGAAACAATCCGTTCTTGCGAGAAGCAGTGTTTTCAGTGGAAGGGCTGCTGCCCAGCATGGTCCATGCAGAAGGCAGCCTGCTCCACCATGGCAGCACTGATGCTTCCCAGCAGGATGTGTTCCTCTGGAGCAGAGATAGCCATGCTCCCCCCTCCAGGTTCTTGCTGACAAATGCACAGGTCTCGTCTTCTCATGGCAGTCCTCAGCCCTGTCCCAGTCTCATTACCTCCAAGTTTCAAAAAATCCTACTTTTCCAGTGTTGAAGCAAACTACAGTTTTTCTACATAATATATAGCTTTTACTCAAGGAAAACATAGTCTATGATACAGATCATCTTTAGTCTCTTAAAGGATTCTTGGAATTCCTGCAGGTCTTGAACACAGGGATATAAATCTTCCCTTTGTTGCCCACTAACAGAGGTACACATCAGAGATCCCATTTCCAAGGTCTAAACTCCCTAAGAGGGAGCTTCTTAAGGCCAGGAAAGAAGCATGGAGCCTTTGCAGTGCCACCTCCAGCATCACACAAGAGTGCTGGAGCCAGCGGATGGGGATGAGCCACAATGGAGCCAGCTCAGGGTCCTGGGACCTCTGGAAATGACCCTTGGCAGAGCACGCAGCATCCTGTGGATGGTCACAGCCTTGGGATTGAACGGAAGCCCCTGACTGCACCAGTCTGAACAGCAATGGGAAAAGGCAAACCAACCCCTCCTGTCTCCCAGAACAGCCTGTCACCTCCTCTGTGCAACTACTCCTGGGCCCCTCTTTGGAGACTGTTTGTATCCCGCCTGGCCCCCTGGGCCCAAGGGCCAGGGAGCAGCCCCTGCCCACAAACCGCCTGCATGGTCCCAGCCAGTCCTGGCACACCTCAGAGCCCACCTGGTTTGTTCCAGCACAGGCTATGTCCCATTCCCAAGCCTTCGGCCAGGAATCTCCCATCCTCGAGGCTTCACATCAAGGTGTGCACCAGCCCAGGACTGCACTGCAGTCAGGGAGAGCAGAACCCCTGGACATTCAGCTCACACCAGGAGAAATATGTTCATTACACAAGTTTTGTGCAGGGCAAAGGGATATTTCTCCTAAACCATGTTTAATTTCTGCACATAAATCCCTCCAAACTGAACTTCCCATTTATTTTCTGTGCTTAGATATTTCCTCATGAGTTGCAGGTGAAATCCACATCCTGGCACACACATAAAAGCAAATGCAGAAGGAACGCATCCTGGCAATATATGCATCAACCCTGGAGATATATATTTTCTTGTTGGGAAGGAAACACACAAACACCAGCTATTATTTTCTCTCAAAATCTACATGTTTCAGGACAAAAATAAACATGTGAACACAGGATGTGTTACTTGCAGGCTTTCTGCCCAGAGCCAAGGTGACAACCAGCAGTTCAGAGGAAACTTGCACACAAGTTACGCTCAGCCTGCTCATTAAAAACACATCAGGGAACCTCCAGCACCCTGGGAATCCCCACAGCACTCTCTGATCCTATCACACACACAAAACGCACAGGCTGCTGCCGTTCTGCTCTAGGAAAACCTGGCAAAACAGGGAATGCAGGAAGGGGCGGCAGCAATGCAGGGTCAGGGGCTGGCACAGCCTGGCAGGGACCCCACAGCTCCCCACCCACTGCACCCAGTGCACACTCACTCTCCTCCAAGGGATGAGCCAATGCTTCCACCGTGGGTGGCTGTCCTGGTCCCTGTCAGTGTGGGACAGCCGGGAGCTGGGGCAGGACCTCGCCAGTTTGCATCCTCCACATCACATTCCTCACAGGAACACCGTCAGGGAGCTTTGTGGGATCGTGAATATGAATTGCTTTGACCTCACTTAGTCTGATATGGTGGAGTATTAAATCTCTATTTTTCAAGCATTAAGCCTGCGTAATAGAAGGATGCTGCGAGCAATTTGCAGTAAGATGAAGGGATATTACTGTCCTGGGAGACAGACAATCCAACCACATCCACAAATTGATAACAGAGATAGTGGCTTAGGTTCATGCTAGCTATTAATTAAGGGCATGTTTTATGTGGAAGACAATACCAGCTTACACAGGCAGGTACTTGCTGGCCTCCCCTCCCCTGCAGTGAGTAGCACTCCCAGAGCTGGAGCGCAGCCAGGTGAGTTCGTACCTTGTTGAACTACAGTTCACACACTTACATTTGAATCTCTGACAGGCAAAATTAATTTCTCAAGCCTTTAGCACTGCAGCTTCAAAGTGGCTGTTCTGGCTGAGGAGCTGCTAGGAGCTGTGCCACCGGGATCAGCGGGCGAGCCCTCCTTCCAGGGACAGTCAAAGGCTTGGCCAGCACAAAGCACCACCATGCTGGCAGCTCTCACATCTCTGGCTGCTAATGAGCACTAACCATGTCCTGAGCTCTTCCTCTGCCCTCAGAACTCACTGCCTCGTTAGCTGGCTGATCCTCAGCTCTCAGCAAAGAAATCCAATATCAGGTTTCAGTCTTTCTTGCCTTTCCTTCTCTCATCTTGGCTGTGGCAGCATCCCACCCAGCTGAAGGATGTTATCCTTCTCTCACTCACTGCCCCCCATGCCGGCACAAAAGACCCACCACTGCTTCTGTTTCAGGAAAACCCCTCCGCAGCCTCAGCCAGGTTTCCCATGCAGGGACACTCGCCCTCAGGAGCTCGCCCTCAGGAACCACAGCCACCTGTGGCGCAAGGTGAAACATCGTGGAGGGCAAGAACCAAGAGACCCCAACCAGTACCCCCAGGACCTGTCTGGCTGTGGAGCCAAGGTCCAGAGCACCAGCAGTGCCACGGTGTCTGAGTGCTCTTCTGGAGAGGGCCTCCCCTGCTGGGAGTTGTAAAGCCAAACAGTGCAGGTCAGCTGCGGAAATACCCTACGGAATACCGGAGGAAGCAGCAAAAAAGTCCTGTG